TTAAACTGTGTCCTTGGCTTAAAGTGATCAATGTCCAATCCCTTAGTATATATTTTCACTGGAAGTGCATATTCCACACCTTTTAAAAGCTAGAAGATGAGTAATTTAAAGGTAATGCTTTATTTTTTCTGTTATTTATCTTATAGACTTCACCCACTCTGGAACTGTCAATACTTATATGTTAACATCATTGGACTGAAAAACACCAAGCAGATTAGTAGAGTGTGTGTGTCTCAATGGATCATGGAGTGTTCTCTTGAGTGCCATATATGAACTTTTATCTATTGTATCTGACAGAATTTCTATGTTCTGCTATCCAGGTGACACAAACAGAAGCTCAGCTCTACTATGTCCTGTGATGTTTTCACTTTAGAGCCTGATGATCATGTAAAGTAGTCTTATGAAATCCTGAACTAAATTAAACATTTCCTTCCTTAAAATGTACCAGGTATTGCATCTAACAGGAGAGCTGATTCATAAAGAATCCAGAAAAATTTATCTTTCTTATTTATTCTTCAAATTACTCTGGATATAAATACAGAACAATTTTGTTTTTTGACAATTATGAACTCACACCATATTTTGATACCTTTTTCACCATGTACTGACAAACCATAATCTCTCAATTTCTCTATTATCTATTGACTATACCTTTCCACTTCATTGTATATATTTCTAAGAAAGTAAGTGATCTGGAGATGCAATTATGAAAATTAATGCATTCACTTAATTATAAAGCCTTTATGTTTACAGCAAGGGACTTTTATACTTATGAACTGAGGATTATACTTAATAAATACTCAGGAAGAGGGAACACTCATAAATGTATATGCAGCAAACACAGTAGCAGCCAACTATATAAAGCAAATCTTAAAGGACAAGAAAAATCTAATATCCAATACCAAAATCTTAAGGACACCTTAACACCTTCCCTTATCCTAAAAAAATAGGTCAACCAGACAAAAAATTAGCAAAGAAATAACAGAACTGAAACAGAGCTTGAAACAAATGGACGTGGTGGACATATACAGAGAGTTCAAACTAAATACAGCTGAATAAACACTTTTCTCAGCTGCACATGGGTCATTTTATAAAATAGACCACATACTGGTCCATAGGTCATGCTTAAGTATAAGGAAGAAAAGAGAAATTATCCCAATCATATTATCTGAACACACTGCAATGAAACTGGAAATAAGTGACAAAACAAACCAGAAAAAAAACCCTAAATACATGGAAATTAAATGACATCCTACTCAGCAACCAATGGGTCACAGATGAAACTAAACAAGAAATTCAACAATATCTACAATTCAATGAAAATACAAGCACAACTTAATGGAATATATGGCATGCTATGAAAGCAGTTCTCAGAAGGAAATTCATAGCTGTGAACTCACACATTAGGAAAACATAAAGGGAACAGATAAACTCTGTAATGCTGCACCTTCAACAACTGGAAAAGGAAGAGCAAATCAAATTCAGAGCCCAAAGATGTGAAGAAATTATAAAAATTAGAGCAGAAATTAATTCAATTGAGAGGAGGAAAACAGTTCAAAGAATTAACAAAACAAAAAGCAGGTTCTTTGAAAGATTTCATAAAATTGATAAGCTCCTCACTAACCTCATCAAAAAGAGGAAAGAAAAATTCAAATACAAGCAATGAGAAATGGAAAGGGTGTAAATACCACAAACCGAGATGAAATTCTGAAGATTAACAATAGCTACTTGAAGAAGCTTTACTCTCACAGAATAGAAGACAGAAAAGTAATGGACAGATACCTAGAAAGGTACAAATTACCACAATTGAATCGACAAGATATAACCACTCTAAATAGCCCAATAACAGCCAATGAAATATGAGATGCAATAAAAAACCTACAAACAAAGAAAAATTCCAGGCCAGGATGAATTTACAACTGAATTCTACAAGAAATTTACAGAAGATATACTATCTATACTTCTCAAACACTTCAAAGAAATTGAAAATGAAGCAATCCTTCCAAAATCATTACTGGAGGCAAATATTATACTGATATAAAAACCAGGGAAAGACACAACTAAGAAAGACAACTACAGGCCAGTCTCCCTCATGAACATAGGTAGGTTCAATTTTAGAAACTGTATAAATAAAATACACTATATCAATAGAGCAAAAACTGAAAACCACAAGATAATCTCAATTGATGCAGAAAAGGCTTCTGAGAAAGTCCAACACTCATTCATGTTCAAAGTCCTACAGAAAATTGGAAAAGATGGCCTCTACTTCAATGTGGTAAAAACCATTTATGATAAACCAAAGACTAACACAATTCTAAAAGGGGAAAAACTGAAATATTTTACTCTTAGATTTGGTACAAGACAAGGATGTCTTCTATCACCACTCCTATTCAATATATTTCTAGAAATATTAGCTACACCCATCAGAAAAGAGAAATATAGAAAAGGAATAAGAATAGAATAAGAAGAAGGTGCATTATTATTATTTACAGATGACATGATCCTTTACTGGAAGATCAAAAAAATCCACCAAGAAGCTACTAGAAATAATACAGAAATTCAGTAGCGTAGCAGGACACAAAGTCAATACCCAAAAGTCAATAGCATTCCTCTACACAGATGACAAACACACTGAGAAGGAAATTAGATAAACAATATCTTTTACAATGGCACTGAAGAAAACAAAATACCTTGGAATTCATCTAAATAAAGAATTCAAAGATCTTTTTAAGGAAAATTCCAGTGCTCTGAAAAAAGAGATTGTAGAGGATTTCAGAAAACGGAAGGATATTCCATGCTCCTGGATAGGAAGAACAACATTGTGAAGATGGCCATACTCCCAAAATTATTGCATGGATTTAATGTAATCCCTATCAAACGACCACCAACATACCTCACAGAGCTAGACAAATCATTCCTAAAATTTCTTTGGAATCAAAAAATACCTAGAATAGCAAAGGTGATCCTGGGTAATAAAGACAAGGCAGGAGGCATTAAAATTCCTCACTTGAAATTATACTACAATGCTACTGTGATAAAATCAGCATGGTACTGGCAACAAAATAGACCTGAAAATCAATGGAATAGATTAAACAATGTTGAAGCTCCTATGAACACACGCAGACAGTTTATCTTTGAGAAAGGGGCCAAACATACTCACTGGAAGAAAGACAGCCACTTTAACAAATGTCGCTGGAGAAACTGGCTCTCCACATGCTGAAAACTAAATCTTTGACCCAGATCTATCACTATGCACTAAGGTAAAGTCAAAATTGATTAAATATCTGAACATTAAACAGAGGCAGTAAATATGTTGGAAGAGAAAGTAGGAGAAACTCTTGAAGACATAGGGGTAGGCAAAGAGTTCATGAAGAAAAACTGTATGGCACAGGAAACACTTCAAATAATTAATAATTAGACCTACTCTTATAGAGAAGTTTTTGAACATCAAAGGAAATTACCAACAAAGTGTAGGGACAACTCACAAATTTGGAAAATATCATGTTAAATAATTACTCAGACAAAGGTCTACTTTCTAGAATTTATAGAGAAATAAAAAACAGTAGGGCTCCAAAATTTAAAGACCCAGTGTAGAAATGGGCATCCAAGATGAACACACACTTCTCAGGGGATGAAATTAAAGAAGCGAATAAATATAAGAAAAAATGTTCCACATCATTAGTCATCCGTCAAATGCAAATTAAAGTAACATTGAATTATCATCTCACCCCAGAAAGAATGGCTATTGTAAAGAAATCAACCAACAACAAATGTTGGATGGGCTGTTGGGAAAAAGGAACCCTTCTCCACTGCTGGTGGGAATGTAGACTGCTGCAATCATTATGGAAATCAGTGTGGAGACTCCATAGAAAACTTGGACTGCAAAACCCATTTAAACTAGCTATTCTGCTATTGAGAATTTTCCAAGAGGATTGGAAAACAGCACATCATAGTGCTATACGTGTGCCTATGTTTATAGTAACATAGTTAGTGATAGCCAAATCTTGGAAACAACCAAGATGCACATCACCTGAGGCATGGATGAAAAAGTTTTGGTATTTTTATGCAATAGAGTATTACTCAACTATAAAGAAAGATAAACTCTAAGCCTTTATATTTAAGTAGATGCCACTTGAAGATATACTCATAAGTGAAATAAACCGGACACATATGTGCAAATATCACATAGTTTCCCTAGTATAAGTACACAATAAAAGAAATACAAATAGAAAGGTGTAATACAACTAAAATGAAAGCAAGAATTTAAGGACTGGATAATGAAGAGAGCAAGGGGAAGAGTTGGGAAACATGACAGGGGCAAGCCGTACATTCATATGTAGAAGATGGGTAAGGCTATGATACTGAGAAATATCAGAAGAATTTTGAATCAAGTAGTTAAGAGGAATGATTTTCACCCTGACTAACTATATATACAGACACCTGTGAAATAAGCAACTGCACTGAAGATGCCAATTTGTAATAGTTGGTTCTTGATTGGTGTGCCTGTCATTCTGGTCTTTTGAATATGGCCTGCTTTTTATGACATGCCAGTTGCTGCTATGCTGTCTCTCGGATAGATGACTGCTTAAAAAGAAGGGGGAAGTAAATGAAGGCGGGAGACAGGAAAAGGAATTTTGAGGGACTGTCGTGCTACAAGGTTGTATATGGTTAGTTTTCTGGACTTATGTGTAAACATAAGAATTATATAATACTTTATGCCTATTTTTAAAATATATCTTAATTTTTAAAATGTTTTCTCATCATATTTTTGGGGGAATTAAAGTTCAGCATATAAATACTTGATGAGCACTGGAGCCGGGGCTGACGCGGGAGGGCCATGCAGACGGCGGCGGGGTCCCAGCTCGGCATCCTAACGCCCCTTCCTCGCGCTGCTGCGGCCCGGCGGCCGCCACAGTAGTGCCACTTTTGTTTGGAGCGCGCGTCCCCGGCGGTGCCAGCGCTCCCGCCGCGCTTGGCCGGTGCCCCCGGTCCATGCCGCTGCGGGGCCTGCGCGAGGGCTCCGAGCGGAGGCGGCGGCCGGACGGCATGTGATGGGGAACTGCAGCTGGACTCAGTGCTGCGGGCTGCTCCGCAAGGAAGCTGGGCGGCTGCAGCGCGCAGACGGCAGAGGATCCAAGTATTTTATAACATGCTGGAGGGGTGAGCACTTGACTATAGAGTTTGAGAATCTAGTAGAAAGTGATGAAGGGGAGAGCCCAGGAAACAGTCATAGGCCTCTTACTGAGGAAGAAATCGTTGACCTACGAGAGAGACATTGTGATTCTATTGCTGAAAAGCAGAAAGATCTTGATAAGAAAATCCAGAAAGAGTTAGCCTTACAAGAGGAGAAGTTAAGACTAGAAGAAGAAGCTTAATACGCTGCACAGCGTGAAGCAGCCAGGGCAGCATGGCAGCGAAAGCTCACGGAGCAAGAAAGACAGAGAGGTGTGCAGCACTACCATCCCTCCAGCAGCAGTGACCATCAAAGTTCAGGACCAGAAGATGACTTTGAATCTTGTATGAGAAATATAAAGTCACAGTATGAAGTTTTTCGAAGTAGTAGACTCTCCTCAGTTGCCACAGTGTTAACACCAAATACAGAAAGCAGCTGTGACTTAATGACCAAAACGAAATCCACCAGTGCAAATGATGACAACACGTCCTTAGACCTGGAGTGGGAAGATGAAGAAGGAATGAATAGGATGCTTCCTATGAGAGAGCGTTCCAAGACAGAGGAGGACATCCTCCAGGCAGCATTTAAGCACAGCAGCTGGAAGACTGGAAGTAACCCCGCTTTGGCCTCTGATGACTCCAATGGGCTGGACTGGGAGAACGATTTTGTTAGTGCTGAGATGGATGACAACGGCAATTCTGAGTATTCTGAATTCATAAGTCCTGTATTAGAACTGTCTGATTCTGACATCAAGCAGTCTGACACAGATCAGCAGATTCGATAGTGTAAAATTGTTTGATCCTGTTCATCAGTTTTGAGCAAATGTTTAAAAAAACAACAAGAATGTAGCTGTGGCTTACTGAACCTTTTTGTAAGGGGCAGTGAGGAGCCACACTGCAAATGCTTACTTGATTAGGAAGATGTAAGAGTGGTCGGATAGACATGAATTGCTTCAGAATTAAGTGCAATTTTATCATCGGCCTTCTGCATTTTAAGACCAATTTAATGATTCGGTCATGTTATTAATTAAATTTCTATTAACTCTTACGGTATTCCTGTTCACTTGTAGGTTTCACATTTTAAAAATCGGCATTAATTTTACTTTGAATGCTTTTCCACAACTATTTCTGTATCTCTGGTGAAAATATTGCAGTATTTTCCATGAATTCCCAGCAGATGTGAAAGGGGCATGAGGAGGGGTTGTCAGGCTTAGACTTAGAGCAGTTCCCTTTTCCAGCAGTGTTTATTCTAGGGCCACTCCGAAGTCCTTTATCCAACAGGAAGCACAATTGATTGGCGTTCCTGGCCTGAAGTGCTGCAGGATCAGTTTCTTTCTTTCTTTCTTTCTTTCTTTCTTTCTTTCTTTCTTTCTTTCTTTCTT